ATATGAGTAAGGAATGTGTGAGCATATTTTTGTTTCGTGACAAGTAATATGGAATCTCGTCTAGCTGAGGTGTTCGTATGATTCAGTTAGTGTCTTTGGACGAGACAAGGTGTGATTAGTATAGAAATTCATAGTATCTCAAAACTGTTAATATATGTAGAACCGTTGAAGATGGAATATGATTAGTATAGAAATTCATAGTATCTCAAAACTGTTAATATATGTAGAACCGTTGAAGATGGATTGAAGCCGACGGTTTAAAATTCAAAACAAAGCGGGTGTAGGACGCCTCACTCGGGTAGCGAACGGGGCTATAAAAGGAGTGAGGTAGGAGAAGAGGAGCTCAGTGCGAGTCGGCTAGCGTGCCGAGAGGACATCGTGTTGTGTGCGGAATTTAGAACGCCGAGTCTGTGCAGAAATCTCGTGTTGGAGTTTTTCCAGGACAACACGGAAAATAGGAGGCGTGTTTGATAGCACAAGAGAAGAGTCAATCTCCCTACCGAAGAAACCTATTTCCACCGAGATAGAGTTTTATTTCGGAAGCCAGTATCTACAGGCTACAGCAAGAAATAACGCATCACCCCAAATAACACGCACACCAGGGAACGCGGACTGAAGACTTTCGATTTCTAATCTTCGGTCGTTTACAACAGTCGTACGGCTCAACGGAACTGCAACGGATCTCACCCTTTTTTTAAAACATCACATCAATCTCCCAACCGAAGAAACCTATTTCCACCGAGATAGAGTTTATTTCGGAAGCCAGTATCTACAGGCCACAGCAAGAAAGAACGCATCACCCCAAATAACACGCACACCAAGGAACGCGGACTGAAGACTTCCGATTTCTAATCTTCGCCGTCGCTTAGCCTTGGAAAACTCGCCACCCGCTGCGCAGTGGGCCTCACCATCTCCAAAATTTTCGGTGATGTACTCCGGGAAACTGTTAGAAACTATCTTATTTTCCGTAGAGTCATAGAAGTGAAATAACTGGGTAGATAGGTCGGGATAGGAGATATTTTGAGCACAAATACTATGTCGGGAAATTCCCCTGTGTAACTCTGTCTGAGCTACATATTTTGGTGTGGCAGTATAGGACCATATTTCGTGTAAACCGTGCTCTGCCGACTGTCCAATTGTATTAGACTAGATTTTTCTGTAATATAGTAACTATAGAATTTATCTCCATGTGTTGTCATTGTTCCTTTGCTAACTAGTTCGCTGTTCTGACATTTAGAACCGTAAATCAATGCGCCGTTTACCGCCACTCTGGCAAAAAGTCAACCTGACCAATTCCTAATTTATATCAGAAGATAGAAAATCGATGAGTTAAATCAATAAATTTATGACGAAAAATGGTATTTCAGATTTAAATTCGTGGCCAAGTAGAAATGATTAAAGATCTCAAAAAGAGGTAAATAATAGTGAGAATTAGGAAGTCTTAGACTTTATAACAAAACTATTCATAAACCAATTTATTCAGGTGTAGCTCCAACGTGATTGGTTGAGCCACTCCTGACCTCGTTATAACGCGCGCTAGGTAGTCGTGAACAATGAAGAATTTGGTTTCTTTGGAATTAGTTTAAGATTTATTCGCTTTACTGTGCCATTATTTTATCGAAGGACTTTATCTTTTGCGATAATCGTAATGATTTACAGTTGTACTGTACTAAGATAAGAGTTGTTAATACCAATAGACGATACAATCGTTAATTAAAGATGCTACGTCACCATCTTGCGTAAGGAAGCTAGACATCTTAGAGGTAGATGTTTTATAAGAAGTCGATGATAACTTATAGTCATGTCGTCCAAATGTTAAACTCTTTATTAATATGATTTTATTAGGTGATAGTACTTCTCATTATATTTGATAATGCTTAGTCAATATTCATTTGTCTAGTCTATTGACGAACTGGTATCAACTCAGGCGCTCGCGAGTAATTATCCTCTAGTTATTCTATCTTAAATAAACTTTCACTTATCATTATGTGACCAAAAGATTATATTATGATTCTATTTTGTTGTAATATACTATGTTGTCTATATCTTTGCATATAGACGAATTTAGTAGCCCGTTTCTTGTACATTGTAAACAAAGTGTTGAGGTAAGCTCATTTTAGCTGAGTTACCCCCTCGTTGTGTGCACTCGGACGTTGTGTGTGCTCAGTGGTGCTGGGTTGGGGTGACACGGTTTCGACTCGAATCAGGCAGAGCCAAATTTGGGCTTCCAAGAATAAACTCCACCGCAGTTCTGGGCATAACTCTTAATGAGTTCCTCTAACGGACTAATAACGGCGTAGGTGGAGTTCTTGGATAGTTCCAGGTTTTGGTTGCGTTGGGCGGTTAACAGCCGTTCAAATCGCACCCTCGAGGTAGAGGCTAATAACCTCTGCGCTCGAGTTAATTGTCAGCGGCTTATTGGGGGCTAGTACCCTCCAATGGTCGTGCTTTTGAGGCGTAACTGCCACCCCGTTCCTGTGTGGTTGTTAGCATCTCGGTGCGGTTAGTTCCCGTGCGATTTGCTGTCCGTTTTTGTGATTCTTGGCAGTGTATTAGGGCTAGGACCCCTAGTCTCTGCATCTGGTCTTCAGCATCTCGGTGCGGTTAGTTCCCGTGCCATTTGCTGTTCATCTCCGTGTTCTTGGCAGTGTATTAGGGCTAGAACCCCTAGTCTCTGTGGCAGGTCGTTGGCATCTTGGTGCGGTTAGTTCCCGTACCATTTGCTATACGTTTTTGTGATTTGGCAGTGTATTAGGGCTAGAACCCCTAGTCTCTGCGGCTGGTCGTTGGCATCTTGGTGCGGTTAGTTCCCGTACCATTTGCTTCGTTGTCGGCATCTCGGTGCTGTTAGTTCCCGTACCATTTGCTGTACGTTCTTGTGAGTCGGCGGTGTATTAGGGCTAGAACCCCTAGTCTCTGCGGTTCGTTGTCGACATCTCGGTGCGGTTTGTTCCCGTACCATTTGCTATCCGTTGTGATTTCGCGGTGTATTAGGGCTAGAACCCCTAGTCTCTGCGGCTGGTCGTGGCATCTCGGTGCGGTTAGTTCCCGTGCCATTTGCTATCCATTTTGTTTTTCGCAGCTGTGTATTAGGGCTCATACTGTGTGGTTTTTCGGCTGTTTGTACCCCTGGAATGTCAAACCTTTTTCCGCGAACTTTTGGATTAAGAAGAATAACCAATTGTGCGCCTTGTATGAAGAAACTTGTATTTGCCTGAAAATTTCCAGTATACTACGAAAACTTCATCGTGTTCATTACTCCTTTCTACAACGCAAGGGAATTTAGAGCCGGACCAAAGAGCGACTTTTTAGCCCTTGTGTTTAGGATCAGAACGAAAGTCTATACCAAGTCGGCACGCTACCCGTAAATATTTCAGCTTCGCGGCGGTGTTTCCGGTTACACAAGCAAAACGTAAATAATAATTAATTTGTATTTCGGCTTCCTCATTACAATTTCGTATAATTTGGCATCCTCATTACAATATCGTCAAAAAGATCTCTCTTAGTCACATCAAAAGTTCTTACCAATAGCATGGCTGGGAGAGACGAATATCCCTGCCACGAAGACAAAAAATATGCGGAGGGACGCTCCCATCTTCTCGACTTGTGACTTGTGACAAGACTGGTTTGCTTTGGAACTGCTTGAGGAACCTTTACCAGTTACAAGAAATTACAAGAAATAGTTTTACTGCCACAAGCGTCATATATGAAGTGGTCACCGATATGTTTGCCAATAGATTTCATCGGGCGAAAAGACAGAATGACTTCTGGAGCCAAGAAATTTATAAGATAAAGCCACTGATAGGCTTGAGAAAAGCAGCACGTGTTTGTTATATAAATATCTTAAATTTTATGTTACTTCGTAAAGGGCATTGTAAAATACTCATAATATTCAATTCAATTCAATACTCATAGTATTGGATTCCTAATCTTAGTTTTGGATTCCTAATCATGAACAAGTTTCAAGAAAACTTTAAAAGCACGTTGATAGCGTTGGCGCTTCTAACAACGAAGTCAAGACCATCGGGGAATATCTGAATGTCATCATTAATTATAGTATCATCTATTCTATCGGGTGTGGGCTCTCAAGCAGGAAAATTATTAGATGTTTTAAATTAGATGTTCTGTTTGTAAATTATTATCATCATTTTCCTCTACTTCTACTCTAATTTAATTTTTCACTTGAAAATAGTCGTAAATGAGAAGCATTGAGCGGTTAAGGCGTCCCAGCCTCAAATTTGTCCTGAGAGTTTATGTAAAGAGTGGAAAGTGTGAAGCTTCATGTAATTTCATATAAATTCTTCCTGTAACATTTTCGTCCCAACGCTTAGTTGCCTTAGTTTATCAATACAGAAGTTTACTTGGCAGTTCACATCCTGCATTCTGTTCACACACGTGCCTTGGAAGCGTGCTATTTCGGTAATATTCACGCTGCTTCTTATTTGTTCATAAATCTTTGTCTGAAATAGTCTTGCTAACATCTTGAACTGAAATATTTAGGTTATGAAATTCTTTACCAATATTTTGTATGGAAATGTTCCAATTTTTAGATAATTGTCAAAATTCTGTATTCATCTTACAGAAATGTACGTGTTGTCCTAAGACTCTGGATGAAACACTTGAGGAGCACACGAGTAGAAAATTCGCCTGATCCTAGGGGCTTACACTAACATAGAAAGTTAGCAGGGAAACTGTATAAATTCTGTTCTGTAACTGTATAGCACTGTACTGTACTGTACTGAAACTGTATGGCAGGGATACTGTATAAATTCGTTTGGTACGAATTCCAGAAGATAATGTCAACAATAGTTTATCCAGAAACGTTAATTATTTGGATGGGAAGCCAATTTTTTGTAACACATGCCAGTTCTCACGCGGTAATCACTGGACGAACTGGTCCTTGAAAAGCCCTTGAGAAGAGACACCAATTGTTCCCCGGTGGTGTAAATTAAGCAGGTGTGCAACCAAGCTTCGGTCATTGCTGGCCGAGAAGTTATCAAGATGGGAGCTTACGTGCACCTCTGCCTTTCATTTCTTGCCGTGATATCTAACTACAACGTCCAAGCCTTCGGTGAGACTCCTTGAGATGGTAGCTGGGATTTTTGTGATGAATGTATGTTGAAGGAGAAGTTGAATTAAGTGTCATGGCAATTAAATTTTTAACTCCTTCTACTTAGGATGCAGAATTTTTAAACACGATTAGGTTGGAAATTAGTGAGATTTTTTTGTGTACAGGGTGAGTCCGAAAATTGGTTTTAAATTGTATATTACGACATGTGCATTACGATTGCTCAATTTTTAGTCAAATGAAACGGGATTTTCAATTCACGTAATACATAATAATTCTCTTGCCTATTTGAACGATGGAACTGTTAACTGGGAAACAATATTAAACTTTTGAATGTTGTTCAAACATTCAAGCCGCCACTGCATCTTTCATAAATAAAACGGGAAAGTGCACGCCTCGACTCTGGCATTCGCTACTTAGAGGCACAATCGAAAAGACGACCTTTTCCTCGAATAGAAGACGACCTATTCTTCGAATAAAAGACAACCTATTCCTCAAATAAAAGGCGACCTATTCCTCGAATAAAAGGCGACATATTCTTCGAATAAAAGACGACCTATTCCTCGCATAAAAGACGAACTATTCCTCGAATAAAAGACTACCTATTCCTCGAATAAATGACGACCTATTCCTCGAATAAAAGACGAACTATTCCTCGAATAAAAGACGAACTATTCCACAAATAAAAAATTACCTCTTCCTCGAATAAAAAATGACCTCTTCCTCGAATAAAAGACGATCAATTCCTCAAATTAAAGACCACCAAAAATCGAAAAGAAGACCGGCAAATTGCGCCAACTTCTTCAACTTGAACTGACAACTCCTTTTGCAACTTGCGTGTGTTGCTTCCTTCGTGGGCTTATTTCATGCGGATATGCACAAATGTATAGTTCAAAAGAACAATAGAGGTTTTCACAGTCGATGCGCGAAAACTTGACTACAGGAAAATTACGTTGGACAGTAATGATAGTGTTCCGTTTTATTGCCATTCCCGTTCCTGACTTGAGTTATGGAATATATAATTGCAAGATTTTTTCCCTTTGAGAAGTTTTTGAGTCGAAAATACTTCGACTCAAAAAGGAAAAAAAGTACTTCGAGAATCAATAGGCACCATTGCATTTCGAATTACCGGACCTTGAATGACGTTCACAGAAAAGTTGTTACTTGCTAAGATGAACCTGAAACATCTCCATTCTTTGTATCTAAGCAAAATTAGTTTAGATTAATTCATGCAAACCAATTTGGATTGCAACTTTCTAAAAGTTGCATATACTTTTTGATCCTCATCGAGCTGTGACGAATGTGTCAGCTCTTTTTATTAAGCTCTACCTGAGGATAGGGTTACGTGACTAAGGTCGTGTATAGGATAAGTAAGACACAGCTGTGTAGATAACATATCTTGATATACGGGGTGATTATGCATGAGCTACGATACAGAGGTATAAGATATGGCGTCGACCGTAAAGTCGGAGAACTCAACCGACGCGTTACATCGCGGAGCACTTATCTACTACTGCCGGACCTCTTACAAAGGTTCCCAGCCCTTATATAGCCTTCGGCTTTCGCCCACAACTAAGGTCTTGACTGCGTGATCTATCACGTGATGTTTTCCAGATGCTGACTTATGTCTAGTACTTTTCATCAATCTCTATCAGGTCAAGTGAATATTACGTCCCAATTACATATGATCTAATCTTATAATATAATTATAATTACTATAATGAGACGCCACCTCCATGACATCTCCAGTCTGTCTGGAAGATCGTCCCGATCGTATGGACACAAAATCTAGAAAACATATTGTTCAAAACCTCCGATCAGAACCGTAACTCATACTTTAAGTATTCAGTAATGGAGGCTATAGCAGTAATATAAGGATATATAGTTCCTTCACTTGACAGTATGAAAAAATCGGAGTATGGCACTTTTAAAAGAAAATAACAAGTCTATCTCTAACGCAATTTGAAAGCAATCCCAACTGGGAATCCTGAAAACACCTTGTGGTATTTAATGCTACGTTTCTCCGTTCATTGGGTTCATGTCCTTGTGACACATAAGCTGATTAATCTGCCGACTCAGAGTCTGAGGCAAGCTCTCAGTGACACCGTGGACTCATAGCTAACTATGCCTGTTTTTAAACAAAGTTATGAATTATTAAATTCATACGCCGTCAACGCAGCTTAAAGTTGGTTATGACTTTAGATTCCTCCTATCTTGATCATTTATTCGCTTGCTCTCTAGAGAAAATTATTCCTACAATTTCCATCGTAAAATTTTCACACTGAATTCATCAGGTTACGACAATGCTATTGGAATCCATATCATCGAATATAGAAATAACGAGAGTATCACAAATCTTGAATTAAGATTATAACACAAAATAATAAGGATTATAGCGTTCACAGAGTAATATGGAAGAAATATAGATAATCGAATCTTCCCTCGAAACATTTTAAATTTGCAATGAAAATTATATCCACATACTAGTATTGATTCATTCCCTAACACCGAGTCACTTTAATCAGATACTTTGATTGTATATGTCAAGCAGATTTATTATCAGTGAACTTTCATTAAATCACAAAGAAAATTGCTTGTACAAAATTCTGTACGTTTCTCTAAATCAATAAGTTATAATGATATAAACGCATCATAAAAATTAATATTAGCATCGGTCTGTTTCGTTAATTTTATTACATTGCTAATGCAAATGCTAGCAAAATAGCAGACATTTTAACTTGACTGATCAATTAGCTATTGCTGATTTAATCTGGATGCTTGTTGATTTATAAGTTAATAGCGTGTTAATAACCACCTTTAATATGAAATGCAACTCAAATCTTAAAGTGCAAAGCATTAATCATCGTTTATCGCGTAAACGTTGCAACATTTGCTATAAAATCATTTACGGTTTAATACCGTAAAAATAAAACCGTTAAAAAAACATTGCGTTCAAATGATGTCAACATGTTAATTGCAAATGTGTGAAATATTTTATTTGAGCGGTATACACAGTAATTGTATCAAACCATTTGTCATTCGCAGTGCTTAATTCAAATACAATGTAACATTCGAGCAAACAACATATCTCATAAATATTCAAACATCGTTCGAATAAGTGGCAAAACATAAATGCATGCATACATGAGTAATTCGTTATTTTAACAGTATACTTGTCAAATTTTAGCTTCGGTTCGTCACACTTGAATGGTGTCGGTGACAAAATAATCACCTCTGTCTAATAATGTCACAATATATCTTGCATTAGCAAGTCTCATCAAGAATGAACTGCATGGACCGCATTATTGCTTAGTATTCGTTAAAGATCTCATTAAATCCCATCGCTGATCGCCGAATAATTTTGCTCACAAAGTGATTTTCGAACGGACTTTGTGCAAGCTCAGATGACATTGCTAGCATCATCATTGAAATCTATGAGCTTAAAGCAAAAAGATTTTCGGTGAATTGCGGTCAAATTCTTCAAATGAATTATAAGATCATTCGTCGGCATTAGTTCTAAGCAATATGAAATTATCTTTAGAAAATATCGCACGACATGATCAGCGTTAGAAAAGTTAATTTATAACATAGCACATTCATCATAATCACATATACATTTATATTAAACTCAAAATATTAACTTTTCCATATTAAAACGCACATAATTGTATTTTTCAAGAAAAGACACTTAATAGTAGTGCAATTATTGCAACGCAATACTAATAGCAATATAACTGTAAATACATTACATTCTCAGGAACATTAGAACTCAATACAAGGTATTGACATCTTTGAAAAGAATGAAGTTTGCTAAAATATTTCGCCTGCTCAGAGAGAAAAAAAACTTTACTGGCTTCGATGAATCGAGCGTCAGTATTTTTCGGACGCTAAACTCTTTGAAAAGCATCTGATCTATCAGTCTTTGACGGCTGTCTACTCATGACTGTTACAATAAGCAATTGATATAGTTTAATCTACTTTTAAAGATTAAATCTACCGTTTGAAATGATTTGTATATCTCAATTTATCAATTCATTAATTTTACAGTTAAAGTAATTGAGTAGATAATATACATTATCTTTATTTATAAAGTGGTAGAAAAATAAAGAGTAGAAACATGAAATATTGCATTCAAAATCTCAAAAGATATTTTTAATTCAGCATTGCAGTTTAACATGATATTGTTGCAAAAATACATAGGCGGAATTATTTATTTAGTGTTACCTAGACATTAGAATAACAGTGATACAAAAAATTTTCACTTCCTGAATCAATGTTCGTTACGTTTTCATTCTTTAATGTGGCATCAATTTCATCGGTACGTATACTCGACAATACTAGTCACAATTATTTGCTGCTTCGTGCAATCTCAATATTTTGTACGTTATTGAAATTATTGCAATTATTCGAATTATTTATAGTCTTAATGTGACTCATGCAGATACCGATTTTGCTTTAAGTCCGCAAAATCGTGTAAGACGTGAAATTTAATGTATAATGAAGCTTTACTTCATCTTTATTATACATTCATGAGAATTATATTTTATATATTGGGCGTTTAGGTGAGTCTTAGATACTCGATCTCTGAATTCTTGAAATTCAACAATATTTTAGCTCAGTTTATCTCGTATTGAATGGTAAAGGTTCAACGGTTGAAGGACAGCAATTATTCAACTATCGTGACGAAATGACATATTAATCAAATCTCAAGCCAAGAAGATAATAGGAAGTCATGTAATTAATAATTAAGATGAATCGCTTTTTAGACGTCAAATGTGAAATAGAAATAACTCGATTGTACTTCATAACTCAGTTACGCATTTGGTTACATATTGTAGCGTCGATGAGCATATAAATATGGACATAATGGCTGAATATAATACGGGCTCATATAATCGGTAAAATTACCCTGTTGGAACTCTTATACTAGACGTTACTACAGTTCAGATCAATAATACGTCTAGTTCATCATTATAGCTCCGGCATTCATCAATGTACGCTTTGTTAATGCATATATACGTCAATTAATGCACTTTTTCGGATACGCACGCATTTGTCAATAGATACATTCGTCAATGTACATATTGTCGATTAATGCAGGTACCCGTCGATACGCATAACTTCCATGCATTTATTGAGTCAATGCCATTGAACCAATCGTTCAAAGATGCCATTGCTTTTTTCCACAGCCTTTACGTGAAGGTTCACCTACTGCGCGACGTACTTTTAAACACTATTCTTTAGGATAAAGTCGTACATGCGTAATATAATTAGATATCTGTCTACGACATCTTTAATATTCAAAGCGAAATTCAATTTAAATAATACGGGTTCATATTGTTCAGGATTGTTATTAAAATTCTACCTCCCGATTCGCTTATCTTTATGCTTCAATGGAACATTCCTTCAATCAGCATTATTAGCGCATTCTCTCATTTATGGAAAAAATGCACTATTGTGCTCGCCATGTCCGTCTGTTTGTCTGTCCGTCCGTCTGTCCGTCCGTCCGTGACCTCAAGTTTTCGTCGACGAGAAAATGCGTTCTCTGTCACTCACTGCAGTGAGTACTGAGTTATATTTTTTATTTATTCTACGGGTTCGGATTTTGTCAGAGTCTTGAAACTCGTTTAGGTTCACAGCACATTGTAAAACTTGAAGATTCGTTTAAGAGACCTCACAAAAGACTTATATCATTAATTGACATGGTTAAAATATTACAGAATTCGTGAATACTATGCTACATCCGCCATAATCAATTCGATAAACTGCTATTGCGGTCAACTGACAAAATTGTAGAATTATACCTTACTTACGAATCCATGACTTAGCTTAGAATTTTCAAACCATCCAAACCACGTAAGTCAACCCAGGATGCCTTTTCTGTGGCACGAGCATTTTTCAGTCGCTGTATTCGATTTCCGCTGACTTATATACTGAGTGAAATGAATTTATATGAAAACGGCGTAAATATGATATCGCATTACCAATTCACTTGTGACACATCAACAAAATGAACATGTGCAACGTTCATTGACAAGCTATATTTATGAGCAATAATACTCTCTTTTAATTACAGCTGTTCGTTCATTAGTAGGAGGTTCATTAATGAGAACGGCGTTAGAGTTAGGAGTGTCTAATTTCAGAGTGTAACCTTACAGGATCCTTCTTCTGTACCTTCTGAGTCTAAACGTACAGGATTATTCGGCTCATATTACAACGAGTCAATTGCATTTTTTCTCTAGAACTTTAATGTTCTTCATCGGTACATAACTGAATTACATCGGCAGGAAACGTTCTCTCGGTGAGCGTGACCAATGCCCATCGCGGTACACGCGTTGCTGGTCGTCGCACCTCGGTACACATGAGTCCAATCCACTTAATAAAGTTAGCTACTGACTTGCAACGCTCGTCATGTGTATTAGAACATGAACGTGGCTACGTCTTAAAATACAACATCGTACAACAAAAATAGATTCAAGTTTATTGAGCGTTTAATTTTTAGCGAAATTACTAGTTGAATGGCCATTTGCTGCATTAAATATGCGGGAATAGTTTTAAACCTCCCGAGGCTCGTATAATATTTTACGCGTCACAAGCTATATTTCCTGTGCATTTATAAACAGTATTATTAATAAATCGGATATGAATTCATAATTAGATTACTCAACTTTTAGTCTGGCGATCTTAGTATAGATGCCGTGACAGTTGCTGTTTTTTTTTTTTTTGCCGTCTCTTGTTTTTCAGGCCTACACTCAGGCCCACATCAGGCCTACACTTCAGAGCCGACATCACTATGTTATGTTATGTTATGTTATTGACGTTTTCACGTGCACATCGGTTACCGTCGCTGTAGCTGTTGAAGTGTGGCTCTACGTGGTGTGAAGTTTTAGCTTTTCTTGTTGATTCCTTTGCTGATTGCCATCGACAGTCGCTGCCACATCGCTGCCACCTTCTCACGACACCGCTGACTTGTAGAACGCTCGTAGGCGCCCTCAGCGGATGCCGGATTTTTTCGCTCGGTGGTCGTTCGATAGTGGCTCGTAGTTTCCCTCAGCTCTGCATGTTCGTTCTGGATTCCAAAGAACGCAAAAAAATTGCGTGGACCCTTCAAATTGCTTTGCGTCAGTCTTAGGCTGAAATAAGAAAGTCTTGACATTGCAGGTTAAAACTAAGACGCACCAGTCAAAACTTGAATATTCTCTCAGTTTTCGGCTGCTTAAATTAGTAGATGAAGGTCCTCTTGGTCTCTTCTTCAGACGTTTAAGTTAGTTTATCGTCAGAGAAACACTCCGTTGAAAGAGAAACACTCCGCACGAAAGTCACTATGCGACAGGGTTGCTATAAACACAAACACTTCAAAAGTCTTTCACTTCACCATCGTATTCAACGTTTCACAATTAAAGTAAAGCAATCGAGTTTCACTTATAAGAAATCACGGTTGTTATCACATGGTTAGGGTGCCACTTGTCAACTCTTTCTTATTTAGCTCTACCTGAGGATCAGGTTAAGTGACCAAGGTCGTCAACGATAAGTAAGACAAAGCTTTCAAGATAACATATCTTGAAATACATACGGGGTGGTTATATACGAGTTACGAGAGATGGGTATTAGGTACGGTGTCGACCGTAAGGTCGGAGAACTGAACCGACGCGTTACATCGCAGAGCGCTTATCAACTAACTACTGCTGGAGCTCTTACAAAGGTTCCCAGCCCTTATATAGCCTTCGGCTTTCGCCCACAACTAAGGTCTTGACCGCGTGATCTATCACGTGATGTCTTCCAGATGCTGACTCATGCCTAGTACTTTTCATCAATCTCTATCAGGTGAAGTGAATATTACGTCTCAATTACATTTGATCATATAATATAATTATAATTAGACGCCAGATTGACACCGGACAAGTGCGGCAGATTTGCCTGGTACCTCCCTGGCACTTATACCGTATCGCGTGATGTTGATGCAGCTTTCGGTGGTTGCCGTCTTGAACTTTTACATCAATTCCTATCAGTCGTCACGTTGCTTCATAACATAACATTTCCAATAAAATATTGGTACGGGATTGAAGTCGTAGTGTCAGTATCTTGGACGGAAACTTGAGAAAGAAACTTGATCCTTTTTGTCTTTTTTATACTATGTTGTGAGTAAATCATGTATCGATAATTGAAAGACTTCGATAGACTAAATCTAAATTAAAGTTCAAAATAGTCCGTTGCTAGCTGCTAGCATCCAAAAAAATTAATCCTAAAACTCATATTATTCAATGATCACAATCAGACATTCCTGACCTGCGGTACCTCAAAGCCTACATCAGCGATGACCCCGACGGCCCCTACCACGAGTTCCTGGACTACTCCCCCGACCTGAGGGACCAGGGCCTCGATAACTCCATCAAACGCGTCTGCCTGACTGGAATGTGAGCAACCTATTCACGCGCGGCTTCGTTAAACTCTTTAAAAATATCATGTGCAATACATAAACGCCGGAAATATACCATTGATTTACAGCGGATGATCCGTATATTTTTGGAATTGGCTCGCATCCCCAGCTCCTCAATTAACTCACCTTCGACCGATTGAATCGATTGATTCCACCTTACTTTCCAGACCGAGCTCATAAGTAATAGTGCACAGCTATCATTTCATTAGGAGTGATGCTCGCTTGTAATGTTTTCGGTAATACTCTTGCCTTTTGTCATTTCAACAAGTGAAAGAAATCTGCTTACAATTCGTACTTATAATTAGGACGCATGAGGCTTGTATGATTGATGAATGTAAGAAAGAATGCTAAAAGATTATAAATTTTGCTGATTTAAAATTTAAACATTCCTGCTTTCAGATGGTTCTTATACTCAGATTACAACTACAGCGAGGAGTCCACTGAGTTATGGGGACCGGTTCGAGTCAACGGTTGCCTAGACTTCGAACTCACATTATCTGTGAGCAAACAACGAATCCGACTTAGCATTAATACCACGAGTGAAATGATCTTTGATAAATGCATGACTTGAAATTATCCAATATTAATTCTTCAACAATTGCAATACTATCACCTTGCAGACCTCGTCTCTGCGGTACGCGGGCAGCCCCTACCACCTGGACGACTCCTACTACAACCTCTACGAGGGCATCAACTACTGCGGGCGGGAATTCAGGGGCAACACCAACGCCGACTCGTTGCTGGAGTTCGACTTGAGGGTGTCTTCTGTGATCATCTGTGGACAGTCGCCGTGGACTTTCTTCACGTACGTTGAACCAATTGGGATGATATTTCAGCACTAGAAGGATTTCACAGATTTGCAATAGAATCACGTGGTTTAAAAATGAAATTTAGACTTGCACCGTATCGAGAAACGTTGATTCCAAGAGTCAAAACACAATTTTATAGCCGTGCTGTTATCGGCTGATGCCTTATTGCCATCTCGCTGCAAGCAAAACCATCATTCAAATATCAATAAAGTGAGGCAATATACTCATACAGTGTTGCAATTCTTGATCAATAAATTAACAAGAAAACCAGCCAATTAAACCAGTTAACAGAACCTGGGCAATCGCCTTCGATCAATCGCTCTGTCGCGGCGCGTCCGTGCAATGCTTCCATGCTACCGATAATAAGCTCATAATTCACTGTCTATCAGCAACAATTAAAAGCCTAAAATCTGATTTAACTATACCATTTATGAAAGTTTCTGCATGCAATGAACCTCTGCATAATTCCGAAACTTTGAACCGCTCATTAAGCTTCGATAAACACGCAGGTGAGAAATTTCCGCAGAAACTTCTTGGCTCCATAAAATAATACTCAATTCGACTATATAACAAGTGAAAAAAATCCCGTACGGCATTTAAAATGTCTTCTTTTTTTCTACACTTGGTGAAAAGGTGCTGAACGCGGGAAATAAATAATCAATAGATTCTCGAATACCTCAGCAGTAAACCAGGCGTTTTCACAGAAGGTTGTAAGTTAACTGGGCGTTACTGGCAAACGAAACTGAATAATTAGTGATGGTCGATTATATAATTTAGTAAATAATGCCCTTTATTTAAATGCCCTTTATTTATTTTTAAATAATGCTTTAATTTATTACAGTAGCGTGATTTTTTAGTTTTACTAAGGCTACGGTAGTGACAAATTCAGCAGAGTATAAACGCAAGCAGTTTTCATCCATATACGGACAGATGAATCTGTACTACTCACACAAAGATGCGTACAACTTCTGGTCACATGGGAAAATTGGTACGAAAAGCAGCATAGTTTTTACTCGACGAACGATGAAGTTTTATTTGGTTGGCAGTGGCCTGCAGTTCACCGGAGAGGCTGTATGCTTGTATCCTGCCAATATTGCTACCGGCAACAACATTTCCCTTCATTGGAACGGCCTTCCGACGGTGAGTAGATCTATCCGTTGTGTGTAGCAGTGAAAGCGATGAATCTATCCGCAGACAAAAAAGAGGTCAGATATAATTTCATTTATTAATTGGATATTATTTCTTTCTGGGAAATATTTAGCGTAGATGAATACTACAATAGTATTTCTTAAAGGTATTAAAGACTTTCATTTGTGCATTTTAGTTATGGATAAACTTTATACGTTTTAACGTAATCCCATGCAGGAATTTATCTCATTCACCTTTTCAATTCAAGTGTAGTAACACAAGTTCACCCAAACTCCAGAATGAAACATTTCTTCTGTTCAATCGTTGACGTCCGTTTAGGCTTGTGGAGTGAGGTGCATATAGAACGATAATTTCATAAGATTTAAATTAAAAAATTTAAATTTACAGTAACAGATTCCTTTCCTAATTGAACATGAATCCTGGACGTTACCGTGGTAGATGCCACTCACCTGTGTTTTGTATTAAATCTTGGAATATCTCGGTACTGCAGATGGAGCTACTGGGCTTGCCGGACAACTCGATCAGGTCGGTGGCCAAGGGCTGCCTCACCGACAACGTCTACCCGAACAACCACCTTCAAGTGGAGCTTGGAGACGCAGTGGAGCTTGGAGACGCAGTGGAGCTTAGGGACGCAGTGAAGCTTGGAGACGCAGTGGAGCTTGAAGATGCAGTGGAGCTTGAAAATGCAGTGAAGCTTGGAGACGCCGTGGAGATTGGAGACGCAGTGGAGCACTGAAATGCAGTGGAATATGGACCTGCAGTGGTGCACGTTTAACAAGTGGTAGTCGTCACTTTCAACCCACTAAATCGTTCAACAGTTATAGACGTATGTTCGAAATGATCTCACAGAATTTTGCGCTTAGCTTATGGTGTAACCACAACTTCAGTCTCAATATTCACTACTGCAAATTATACCGTTACAATGCAAAGGTGTCAAGAAATCTTTGGACAATATAATATTAATATATTATTAATACTTTCGAGTGACGACAGCTTCCTCCATGCATTATTCGTCCAGGTGTAGCTCGGTCCCGTGAGCCAAGTGAATGAAACAAATGCTTCTTGCGTCTCGTCAATGGAAATTTCTGGCAACGTGAATACCAACACTGGACTAAGTCCCGGTTAAAAACCAATATTAAAAGGCTTAAGGTGAAACCAGAGGACAAGCTTGAGACCTAATTCAAGACTATCGCCGACACTCGTTTTACATCAACGGCACACACGATACAAACCTAGATTTTGCTTATTGTCTAAGGTCACGATTAACTCATTCGAATGCAGAAATAAAATAGATACAAAATCATTTATTAATACCAAACTGTATTATTACTAGGCTGACTCAACAAAATCAAATGGTGGTTCAATCAATGGTTCTTTTCGTGAATGATGCGAATTTGCATGAACACGGAAAAAAACTCGCATGACATTTTCATGCTGTGCTTCTATAGCGATCAGATCCTAGTGTCTGCACTGGGCTTGGTATAAGATGTAGCAATAGTAATATCTTGATCTTTGCATATCCCTGATGACGGGTTTGATCAAAACTTGAAGAAATTTGCATGAAATGGGCATATAAAAGAGCCCGATAATCCTGTGGATTTTCGGGGGTCTTTATTATTATAAGGCCCAAATACAATAATAAAGTCAAGATAATTTGTGTAAAATATGGAGCCTTGATTCAAGGATCTTTCAAAAAAAATCAAAATATAACTGAGTAACTATCAGCATCCTCCATCGGTACAAGACAATCCCAGAAGGAAGTCCTTCTATTCAACCATACGAGATATCGTGCATGCAAGGCGTTCTTGATAGGTTGTCCTATTTGTTATCATATGAGAATTCCAAAATGGTTGTCCGACCAGTAAAATTTCCAGAAAATGTTACAATGAAAGTATAAATAAGAATAAGTCATTTTTGTGAGGCGATTGTATATGTATCGGTGGATCGTCGACTGTAAGCAACATATTCCTGCACCCACTGATGCAACCACCAAATCAGGCGCTGCGAGAAGAACCGGCGTTAACCAGCAGCACCTGTTTACTCGACGATATCAGCAAACATCAGATTCTTATACCTCAGCAGACATATGATATAAGTTTAAATTTGCGTTCGAACAGTTAAGAACTGTGTCGTTCTCACGCATGTTGAGACATTTACTATTTGGAGAAGATCGTATCGACAGAATATTTTTTATCCTAATTTTTCAGTTATCTCTGGTTCCTCTGCTCATTTCTTGTTGGCTGAGAGATTGGTTCTTCTAAAAGGTCCTTGTTCATTGTTATGATATTTTAGGTTGCAAATTCTTTACTACTTGCATCTAGACCACGAAGATTAAGCGTTACTAGGTCTGACGTGTGTATAAAACTTTGGTAGCCGCAAGGTTAGCTGCTTGATCACGAGTGATTCACGACTGACCTACCGCTAACGGAACTTCTGTTTTACTATTTTGACTCCGACATCACGGTAAGTCGAAGTGATAAAATTCATACAATGTTTCATAGTGTGAAATTGGTGAATAAAATATTATTTTTTTCTTGTTAAGGGATTTATTATGTGTTCTGTTTATTGGATCACACACTTGATTTTTTGAAAGTCCCAGCTCTAGGTGGAAGTTCCATAAAATCTTTTGTTAGTTATCCTGTCCCATTCTGGGAATTCTGTTATTTTCCTACCTTCATGCGTACGATCTGATTCTTTTATTGTTTGCCGTTTATCTTCAAATATATTCACTTCAGCTATGCCATTTACGTTTTAAAATCCCGCCTTGCCTAAAACCTATCTTCATAACCAATAGGGAAGCGTTGTACAAATGGTCATTGGTGGACGGTACGAGGAGACCATACCGAACTTTTCAGGTGGTGCAACTTGTCATTGTAGATCGTAGGTTGGTTCGTCACAGATGTCATCGATACAAGAAAAACTCTGATGTTACCACTGAAAAGAAAATCGGATCAATGTATAAGTACTGTCGCAATTAAATTGTTCGAAACAAATTTTAGGTGGGAATTGATGCGATGTTTCCGGAGGAATACATTTTTACGTCCAAAAGTAATACTTTGCCTTAGGCAACAAAGCTTGGCACATATTATCATTGGTATCCAGTTAAAATTCTACCATGTAAATGCCTGTGAGTGCAGCAACCTCGGAAATTTTTCACAGGTAATATTAAGTATAGTAAGTTTACTAACATTTTATGTCCTCTCTAATAGGTTATATGCCAACAGCAGTCCGATGCATAATAACTTTTGAAAATTATAGATCTCCTTCTCGTGAGTTCTTGTAGGGAACAAAACTTATATCGCTTAATCATCAAGAAATTGAATTTTCTTAACTCACTACGTTCTATGTTATTAACTCCTATCACTCATTCACTTATATCTATGCCAGAATTGTGTATTATTTAGATCGACAGAAACAGAAAACAATAGCTCACACCTGGGATCTCTCCCATGTCAATCTTTGCAGTGCCGGCACCCTGTGGGGCCGTATTATCAAAACTTCGTAAGTACGCAACATCAACTTGAGAGTGGCGTAAGTGCTGATATGATGACGTAACACTAGAGGTGGTATTATCAAAAAATTTGCGCGGGAAGATACGTAACGTAACTGTACGCCTGCTCGGAGATGTCGTAAGTGGAGTTCCGCGCCAGTTTAGAGTGTCTGCTGTTTTGGCTTGTCGTGTTAACCTCATATCGTATTAACATCTTATCGTGTTAGCCTATTACGCGTTTACCTCTTAGTACCTTAACAGACCTCCCACCTGCGCAATTATAGGTCCTTAATGCAGTTATCAAGTCATCCTTTAGTCACTAGGAGGCACAAGCCGCAACGGTCCATGTGAGCTTTTTCCGCCTTTTTCTATCACTTCTGGTAGCAACATCAATTAAGCGGCACCTCCATAGCTTTCATTGAGCATCTTATGATAAGGCAGCCAGGGATTTTTTTGCCTAGTATATGAGAACAGTAATATAAACTTAAGTGTCATACCTGTAGTGATTCGCACTAAGAAAACCAAAACCCTCTTCCTAAATACCAACTAATTTTTCTCAATACTTTTCATTGATGAATAAGAAACGAGTCAGTGGACACTTTAGCTTAGGATCTTTCGGACTTGACAGGTTAGAAGTGATTGACCTGATTTTCCTTGCCCTTCCGCCTGATTCTCTCCTGCCACTTCTTGCGAAAAACCGCCCTCTCTAATGAGGTGGAATCTTTCTTTACAAAAACTGACTTGTAATCAGCGGATTCTCCAAGTTTTCTCGCTGTTTTCCGCATGCTCCAAACCTGAGCAGAATCCTTTACCGTCGCCAAAAGAGGTCTGAAGGTGTTGGCGGCATCATCCTTCGAGCGTAGCCTCTTGCACGATGTAACATAAATCGATGTGTTGAGTACCTTGCTGCAACAGTCTACAACAAAGGCCGAGTCATCCATCACTCGGTCCTTCGCATCAGATGCGATACTTTCGGGAATCGTAAACAAATCCAGGTTGGCCTTCCTACGTTCTCTATCAGGCTACGTTCTCTCTATCGTTCTCTATCTTTTGGTTCGCTTATGTTGGTTTGGATGACGGGCAATGGTTTTGGTTCACGGATGAGGATTTTGGTTCACGAATGTTGGTTTTGGATGACTGGCAATGGTTTTAATTCGTGGATGTTGATTTTGGTTGACGGATGTTGATTTTGATTCACGGATGTGGATTTCGGTTGACGAGTAATGGTTCTGATTGCAGAGGCCTGCAGTTCACAGGAATCGCCGTGTGCGTGCCTGCGTTTACCTACACCGGCATGCTTGTACATCGTGGTGGTTTTACTGCAATCAGGAACTAGTAGTGTGTGCTGGCAAATCCTACTAGTGCTGGCGCATGCTAAGTGCTAGCGCGCGTCATATAGTAGAGCTAGTGAGGCATCACTTGGCTGAAATCAAAAATGTATCACTACTAAGTTCTGTTCGTCGCCTAGGCGCCATGTAGGAATGATTGCGATTATTGATGCGTGGGGCCGAGAGGTGACAGTTTCGCCAGTATTCCACAGCTATCAACATGAATAATATATCTTTACCTGAATAATATAGGCTTAATTATTAACTTTTTATCATGCTAATGTATCATTCATTAAGAAATTTGGCATTCAGCATTTATTTCGTTCGGCCTTCATTGCTGAGTGATGATGGGAGCGCGTGAAGTCAAACGCTAAACGTACACTTCTCATTTGCAGTGAGAAAACAAAACTTTTTCGCGCCCAGCCCAAATACGGGGGGAGGGCGGCGGTGAGAAGAAACACCTCATGTATTTTATGATGATCAATACTAGATGTGCTCACGGATACATTGGATGAGTATGAGTGTGTAGGAGAGTGACAAGCTGACCGTGAGATGTCCAGTAAGTAACTTCTCACTTCTGTCCAGTGAGTAAGGAAATATTACTTTATATTCCAAGATATCATGTATTCTGCGCAGGTCTAGCCTGTTGAACGCCACAATAACACAATTTCGAGCTAAACCTTCTGCAAAATGTATTTTCACAAGTGGAATTGTGCGATTAGTGAAGGATTCTAATCTGGAGTCACTCGGTACTTCTACAGCTAGCGTTGCATTCCTCGTCTGCCACGATGAGCCTTTTCCTTTAACAAAAAAAATGCTTCTCAATTCCTTTATTAATTCCTTAAAGGCATCTCGATTCCGACAACGTAAACAGGGGCGGCCGCCCCACGAGGAGGAGCAAGAAGTTCTCCCCCAATGAACGCCCCACTCCCACCGCGACCTAAACAGGACCGATATGGCTTTGTAGCTGAAGTGGGAAATTATAAAGAGATCGGATCATTTTTCACTTTTCGGCCTACGATAAAGAAAGTAAATGTATTTATTTTTGCCGGAAAAAAGTTTACAACTGACCATGTTAGTTAGCAATATCCGTAATAATACCTGAAAACTTCCACATCAGTGAGGCTAAACCTACAAGTTTTTCCATCATTGTTATCCTCTTGATAATGTCTAGTTGACGTTTATTAGCTGAAGTCGAATTAGACAAGATCTTTATTTTTTTCGAGAGGTTTGTTCATGGCCTCCAGGAACGGAAAATCCCACAGGATTCGTACAAATAGTCGGATTCTATGGTAAGTGAAAGAATAAAATCATAAAACATTTAATGCAAGAAGCACAGCAGGAGTGCGTCAACTGCCGAGAAGATAAATAATAACTGGGAGATGGTAACTAAACGATAACAACTGGGAGGTGATAACTAAACGATAATTGGAATGTTGGTTAATAGTAATGACGAACGCCAGGTTAAGAGGTTAAGGTATGTGGAGTAAATCACACGATAATGTTAACCGTAAACTATTATACGGTTAGACGCGCTACATTACAGGCGCTTGAATACGATAACTGCGGAATAAAATGGTCTCCATTGCACTGTGTTACTTGGTCACTAACTAGGGCAAAACATAATTAAATTATTTGCAAATAAATATCAAGAAAAAACCTTAGTAACAAATCAAGGACTTATTCTGGATTCAAACAAATACAGTATTTGGATTACACAACTGGCACGTGATCAGAGTTCGTTATCAAGCAACGTATATTGCATTAATTCTATAATTTATATTACACGTCTAAACCTTGTATTCTTTGGCTGGGCATGCCTTGCGTGACACTCAGAGAAATGGGGGGAACATTGTCCAAATATCGATGCCCTTTTGTTGGTAAAATAACCCAGCGCTCTTTCTGAGTGATACAATCGCGTTCTATCGTCACTTTTCTTCCTAAGAAAATGTCAGGAATTCGCAATTTTCATGCCTGCTCTCTGATAAATATATATAATATATTAGTATTTATAGGACATTATCATCTGTAATTTACTGGAATTTAAATCATCCTGAACCAGTTTAGTCCGGCAAGAGGGCGTATCACTGCTACATCCGGGCTCTGCTCGTGATGTGGGTACGAAAGTGTGTCATTTTTTTGGACAATGAGCCACTCATTTGTGTGTGAGGTATCGTGTGGCAGACGGCACAGCAAATGAATGCATATGAAACAGTAAACAATATAAGGAATGTGTAGGGAAATAAATTATATGGAATGCATGAACATCAACAGTCGACGGGTAAAAAATATAATCTATTGTTCTAAAAACATCACGAGTGTTTTAATAAGTATATACCTGGAATAGATTATAGTTTACATCCACATGTACCTGCAGAACAAAGACTAGCAACTCAAAGGCCTTAAACCAGCAGCATTTCTCTTACATTCATTCGAACAATGAATGAATTTCAATAATTAAACTCACGAATGCGTTTAAAAGACTGAGCATTCGATGTATGATATATTCATCAGTCATATCTGGGCGATTTACCTCGTTTTCGTAGAGGACGCATCAGCGATGCGTGCAGAAAGTGTTACATTATGATGACAAAGTAACCCAGCGATCTTTCTGATTGATACAATCGCGTTCCAGAGTCACTTTTCTTCCTAAGAAAATGTCAGGAATTCGCAATTTTCATGCCCGCTCTCTGATAAATATCTATAAAATATTAGTATTGATAGGACATTATCATGTATGATTTGTTAGAATTTAAATTGTATCTGTGAGCTATTTGGGACACTCGCGACCGCTGTACGGTTGGCAGCACAAAGCATATTGCCTAACAAAACAATAACTATAGTAATGCCTTTAATGTAGAAATGCTTTATTCGGCCTCTTTACATGTTGGAAATAATTACATTTATCACTCATAAAGCTCGTAAAATAAACTTCAAACCAAACACACACTCACAAAGCTTAACTGTACAGTTATTTTTTATTCCATCACTTAGTGAAGCATGGTCATCTAATGGACACGAGCGAGGCAGCGCAGTTTGTATAAGCCCATTAGGGAAGGGGGAAGTTTTAAAGCCCGACCTATAGACTCGGCAACTACATGACCCCGATATTAACATGTTACACTTTACAATTGCTCACAACCTCGCCTCAAATCTTGTATTCCATTAAAGTTTAGCGCGCCCAACACGTGGAGGAGCGCTATACTGATAAAAATGTCTGATCGACTGATCGTGATAACAGCATCGGCATTATTGAATATTGATCCAGCGATGGTGTAGGTACCTATTGTGTACGTAATAACGCCAGCTTGTGTACGTACTAGTACCAGCTTGTGTACGTAATAGTACTAGCTTGTGTACGTACTAGCACTAGCTTGTGTACGTACTAGCACAGAGCACTAGCTTGTGCTCAGTACTACTGCACGTAGTAGCAATTACTACAAGTCTACCAACAGAAGCTTATGTACAACTTTGGAACATGTACACAAACTCGAGGGACTGGCAATAACAGTTAAAAGTTTAATTCGCGTGTTTGACTGCGGGGACCTGAAGACTTCCTTCACATCCTGCGAGTGATACGGGCACGATGTGGAGGCTGGGAAGGAAGGGCGTTCGATAGGCAGGGCAGTTTAGTTAAGAAGGGCGTTCAGTTCAGAAGGGCGTTGAAAGATGAAAGACGTCTCCACAAGACGACGAAGGCAATTAATTTGTCTGCAGGTACGGGGGAAAAGGTTCGTCCTTTACAGTACAAGTAAAAAAGATTTGTTATATTGAATATAAATTAAGATGCAGTGTAGCACACGAGTGATAGAAAGAAGGAGTCAAGCAGAAATGGGTTCAACTCATGAGCACAGACGGGGTCTAAACTGCCGTGGGTTAAACTCATCACAAACGCAGGCTCAGCAGTGCATCATCACCCGATGGTGATGGCTCTTCTTGACTTCTTATAGAGCTTAAATATAGAGGCGGAGCTTGCCATGTATACTGTATAGTCAGCATCTACAGAACATACAGACGACGCTATCATAATGCAGGTGGCACAAGATGGCGTCACCATCATGCAGGTGGCACAAGATGGCGTCATCATCATGCAGATGGCTGCAGGTGGCACAAGATGGCGTCACCATCATGCAGGTGGCACAAGATGGCGCCATCATCATGCAGATGGCTGCAGGTGGCACAAGATGGCGTCCCCATCCTCCCCCATCTGGCGGCACATGTACGCCACGGCGGGTCTGTTGCCGAGCCCGAACACGTAGAGCGCGTACTTCCTGCGGGGGGAGGGCGGGGTGAGGGGCGGGGTGAGGTGTTGTGAAGAACCTGCTTAAGATGAGGTTGCCGGAGACAGTTAACTCTTGTACTTTGAGAATCCCGTCATCCCGAATTCATATAGCCTGAAGTGTCACATGTCATCATGAATCCTGTTGTACCGATTCTCGTAATCGTGAATACCGTAATCTAAATGTAATTCCCGAACTCGGGCCACGTTTCACATTTAAATCAAGTCAACTGATGGCAGGCTCGTTCAGAACCTCATTAGGCATCCTCTCTAAAATATAAAAAATATCCTAATTTCTTATTCATGGTAAATCCGGACATGAATGAAGCGAAAATTAAACAATTTCCGTTTTTTAATCCAATGTTTTTAAGTAACGAATACCTCACGATTCCCCAGAAAAGAAAATTTAGATCCAAGCAACATCCTCACATGGACAGACATAACATCAATGTTACATGTATCCCCAACATCCCCACATATAAAGACATAACATCAATGTTACATGTATCCACAACATCCCCACATATAAAGATATACGGTAACATCAATGTTGCATGTATCCCAACACCCCCCAGCCCCAGGTCCCCGCACCTGTGGATGTTGTCGGCGAGCGTGAGCATCTCCTGCGGGACGTCGCTCCCGCCGTCGCTGCGTCGGTGGTCGGGCAGCAGCTGTCGGGGCGAATACATCCAAAATTAATGGTTCGAGTAATGGGCCCATTGACGGTTTAATTTAGGGTTTTATTGAGATTTTAATTAATGAATCCATTGATGGTTTGATTGAGGGTTATATTGATGGTTTGATTGCTGGTTCGATTAACGGATCAATTGATGGTTTGATTAATGATGGGATTTATGGTTAGATTAAAAGGTGAGCTCAGAGAGTTCACCACATGTGCAGACACACATGTCGTAGCGCATTGTTGCCCTCACCACTGCAGCAGCCGTGCAGCACATACACACCTGTGGTGGCAGAGCAGCGCTCTGCACAGCAGCGTGGAGCAGCAGTGCAGCACGTACACACCTGTGGTGGCAGGGCAGCGGTCTGCACAGCAGCGTGGAGCAGCAGTGCAGCACGTACACACCTGTGGTGGCAGGGCAGCGGTCTGCACAGCAGCGTGCAGCAGCAGTGCAGCACGTACACACCTGTGGTGGCAGGGCAGCGGTCTGCACAGCAGCGTGCAGCAGTAGTGCAGCACGGCTGTGGTAGTGTTCAGACGCCAAATATTCCACAGCCTCCCAGACGCAGCCCCCGCTCAGCAGCCCCAGCACCGCTCCTTCCTGCAGGCGGAGAAACAGAAGGAGCGATGAGAGGAGTGGCATGTCGGAGACTTCACTGACTCGCCATAATCATTATGCTTTACTTGACACCCTGAACAAATCAGGTCCGAAACTTTCCACATCATACTCCACTCCCCATCCCCACCTCATGACCTCTCTCCCCACCTTGCGTCACTTCCCACCTCATGACCCCCTCCCCACCTCATGACCCCACTCCCCACCTCATGACCCCCCTGCCAACCTTGTCCCCCGACCGGTGCAGGTGGCGCGCCCACTTCTCAATGACTGTCCGCTGCTGGTGGTTGTGCCGCCCAGAAATGACGTCCTCCTGCGGTGACCGCCCAGGCGTGGACACGAGGTCGGAGGACACAGCGGACGAACCGACGGCCGCAGTGATGGACGAAGAGCTCGCTGGAGGGATGGACAGGTGACTAGGAGTCACGGAGGACGGCGTGGACAGCGCTGCATCAGCAGCAAGTGACGGCGGCCCGTCCTCAGTGATGGCCATGCAAGGGGAGCATCTGGCCACCCAGACGCTGTCCGTCCAGCGGCCACAGGCCTGCAGGTAGCGGCAGGCCTCCCCGCCCCTCCCCACCAGGCACAGCAGCTCCACTCCTGCAGAATGGGGGACAATTAATTACATATTGAATTACGTTTATTCTAATGTCTATTATAATAGTAAATATATTACAAAGTATTTTACTTTCGAAAATTATTCAATTCTTATTCACGTTTAATACGAATCAAAATACAATTGTATCATGTATAGTTCTTGAGATAATTTTTTTACATCTTCTGCTGCATTGTTCATCTGCGCTGCCGGCATGCCTCACCCTCATCCAGCATGCCTCACCCTCATCCAGCATGCCTCACCCTCATCCAGCATGCCTCACCCTCATCCAGCATGCCTCACCCTCATCCCCCATGCCTCACCCTCATCCCCCATGCCTCACCCTCATCCACGTTGCCGGCAGCGATGAGGTTGGTCGCGACCAGCTTGATGGTGCTGCTGCTCTGCGCTGAATGCGCCGTCGCCGCAACCAGACACGCGCGCAGACAACTGCAGTAATACCTGCGGGGGCAGCGTGTTATTATTATTAATGCAGCGGGGGCAACATGTACACATGCACGGGTAACAATTGTTAGTACTGATGACACTGAGTGAGATCACTAGGAACACATGTCTTGGAATGGTACGTTATGGTAAGTACCTCTTGGGCATGAACCATTAAATATCTTGGTGTCTCAATTTATCAAAATACCTCGCGTTTATTCGTCTTAGAACCTGCGTACCATGAACCAACCATTGCCACTACAGTGCCCTAAATACACCTGGTCTCTGTGATCTTTTGTCGTGAACTCCTTCGCCCTACGTACCCCGATGTCCAAGCTCTCCAGGACTCCATGAAACTTCCCGTGCCACCTGCCCGCTGCTCCCGCACCTTCCGTACCCGTACCCGGGCCCTCCATACCCCCCCCCGTACCGGGTCGTCCTCCATACCCCCCGTGCCCGATACCAGATGCCGACCGTACCCCGAGCCAGTACTCCGTGTACCTCGTACCCAGGATCGGTGTACTCCATATCGAGCAGGAGGCGCACGGCGCGGTCTCGCTGGCCCAGCACCGTCAGGTTGCGGCACAACCGTGACATGTGGGGGCCTCCTCTGCCCTCCTGCAGCAGCAGCCGCTCCTCTTGCACCGCCTGCACACCTACAAACTCTTACTGCCTGCATCGCCTGCACTCACAATCTGCATCTAAGTACGTCACTCACTACCTGCAGCGCCTGCACTACATTCCGTAATATAAAGATTCCTGGGCAATGTCGCAGGAAAACTTAAATAAATCCATAAAAAACGTGCCAATCGCGACACCAATGCCCAAACGGGGCATTATGTACTCCCTCACATATACATAGACACGGCCTCCAGAGCTTATGTATAGACAGGGCTCAACATGTATATGTACAGACATGATATAACATGAACATGTAAATTCAATATATAACTCCTAATTAATGCACATGGTCACGTCACTGGCCTTGTAGTGGCCGGAGTCACAGTAGAGGTCGTACGCGGTGTCCAGGGGCCGCAGGTCGCCCCTCACGTTGGTGGTGCCGATGCGCCGCAGCGTCCTAGCGCCCTTAGGGTTCTCTTCTGTGGCGCCTCTAGGGCCTTCTTGTGTTGTGAGCCCGCCGCCGTTTTGTATGAGGTTAGAAGAGTCATCTTGTTTGGAGTTGGCAACGCCGTTGACTTGCGAGTTTCTGGCACTAATATGTTGCTTTATTTCGGGGGCACCAGATGGTTTTGGTCTGATGACGCCATCTTGTTTAGCAGAATCTTCTATGGTGACAAGTACTGCTGAGTCATCGCTGTCCGTTTTAACTGAGGTAAGACTGAAATTACTGCTACAGCTGTTGCTATTGCTGCTGTTATTGCTGTTGCTGCTGTTATTGCTGATGTTTTGAGTCTCAGCAAAAGAGATGAGGTCAGCGCTGCTGCGGCCACCATCATCGGCATCCACGACCACATCACCACCATCAGCTTGCCGCAAGTCTGTAACGTTATCAGACACGTCAACTCCATCAACACCATCCTCATCAACACCATCCTCATCAACACCATCCTCATCACACCACCATTATTATATGCAGACGATGCAGGCCTATGAGCTAGACGTGGACAGCTCAGAGACAAAGGCCCAGGAAAGATTTATAAAGATGAACAAATGAGCCAGTACCAGAAGATGAATATTATAATAAAAGGTTCATTTGTACGTTTTGCATGTATCATTCCGAAAGAACAAGACAAATCAGAGTGTATAATGATAGTTTTCTTGCGAGGGAAAGGCAGAGCAATACTGAGAGGCTGCGTGAAACTTGTATTTTACAGAGCTGTGACAATCTACAGTGGCCACAACAGACCTTGTGTGGCCATGAGGGTGAGATGATGGACAGCGACGGACCAGAAACGCAGCTCGGAGCGGTCCCCAAAGAGGACAGCGGTCAGGAGGGCGCGGTGGCCAACGCTGTCGCAGGCCTCCAGGAACTCGAGGACCGCCGGAGGAATCCTCCGCAGCCACTGCCGCACCACTGCACACCGTATTATGGCTCATTACTTATCTAACTTATATACTTATATATTGCATTGATTAATAAATAATTAGGATTGTAATTTAATGTTAATTGAATACAATGAGGCCTCATGGTCATGAGGGAGGCATTTCACGAATGTACGTAGAATGTAATACACTGGGGTATAACACAAATTATAAATAATTAATGATGATTTATTATTATAGCAAAGCACGGGTGTGAGTTCACCCTTGAGCTGTTGCTGGCTGAAGCCGTCCTCCTGGGTGAAGCTGAGGGAGTAGCGCTCCCGCCACGGCTGGTGGGTGAGCAGCGCCCGCAGGTTCAGGGATGCCTCTCCCGACAGAAGGTGCGGCGACCCCACGGGCTCTGGGGGAGTAGGGGGCGTGAGTGGGGGGCGTGAGAATGGGGCGCGACAGGAAGCGTGAGTTGAGGCTCAAGTGTCTTGGAGTTTCGGAGTGGGGTGAGGAGAGTGGGATCAGAAGTGGTAGTTATATTAGGAGATAAATATTAAACACTTTCACAAGAAGAATTAATTATTCAAAATGTAAGTAAATAGTGCAGCCGAAGGCCTTACTTCATGCGTACAGCAGTGCTGCATCACCCTCACACAGCAACCCACCTTCAGTGCAGCAGTGCAGCAAGGGTGTGCAGCAGTGCTGCAGTGCAGCGTCCATCACCCTAATGCAGCCGTCCACAGTGGCCAGAAGAGGGCGGTCAGAGGCCGCCCAGTCACCGTCCACCACACGAAGGCCTCCGTCCTCCTTAAGCCGCCCTATGCGGACCACCTGAAGAAAAGAACAAAGCACAATTGCAGCAAAATGCACATGTTCTAACTCGCAAAACTTATAACTGAAAACATTCTTTTCATCTCCAAATCAGAGCACATAGGGGCGATAATCACTGATAGGTCTTAACTTGAAATAAATACTATTATCATTGACAAATTTTAGTTGTATAATTTCAATGGTATTCTAATACGCAGCGTAAGACTGACGTCCTTCATGTCCCAGACGTCGGCGCCGTCGTGGAATATGACGAGGAGCTTGAGGTTGTCGCGCCCCGGGGCAAACCTGATGCGCCGCACCGGCCCCCGACCTGTGTTGACGTGGCCCGACGACCTGATGGAGGGAGGGTTGTGAGGGATGCGTGTTGTGAGGGATGTGCTGTGAGGGATGAGTGTTGTGAGGGATGTGTGTTGTGAGGGATGAGTGTTGTGAGGGATGTGTGTTATATAAACCTGATGCACCGCACCGGCCCCCGACCTGTGTTGACGTGGCCCGACAACCTGACGGAGGAGGGTTGTGAAGGATGCATGTTGTGAGGGATGCATGTTGGTGGAGACAGTTATTTGAGACAAAATTGTCGTGAGATCAGGTTCTTTAACCCATGAGCAGATGGTTGTTGGCGGGAGAGCTGTTATGCTAGCAGGTCCGTTCATAGAGAACGGTTATTTGAGGAGATAACGGTTATTAGAGCGCTAGTAGTTATCGGAGGGAGGTGGTTATTGGAAGAAAGATGGTTATTGAAGAGAGATGTTTTTTTGAGGTGTTTGTGATTGGTAACCTCAAACTACACTTGAAGACTTTGAAGACATATGAGACTATGTTACGTCTCGGCTGAGGTTTAAGTCAACCAGCACCATGACACACTTGACTCACCGGCTGTTCAGGTCCCAGAGGCAGAGGTTGGAGTCAGCGTCAGCCAGGACCATGACTCACTTGACTCACCGGCTGTTCAGGTCCCAGAGGCAGAGGTTGGAGTCAGCGTCAGCCAGGACCATGACTCACTTGACTCACCGGCTGTTCAGGTCCCAGAGGCAGAGGTTGGAGTCAGCGTCAGCCAGGACCATGACTCACTTGACTCACCGGCTGTTCAGGTCCCAGAGGCAGAGGTTGGAGTCAGCGTCAGCCAGGACCATGACTCACTTGACTCACCGGCTGTTCAGGTCCCAGAGGCTGAGGTTGGAGTCAGCGTCAGCCAGGACCATGAGGTGGGACTTGCAGGCGATGCTGGTGACCCGCTGGAGGCTGGCGTCAGGAGGCACCCGCACGCCGTCCTTGATGACGTTGCCCTCCACCGACAGGTGGTACAGGGAGCCCTCCACGTCACTCAGCATGAACGTCTCCTTCACTACGCGCTCTACACCACCTGCAGGGGGGAGGGGTGGTGAGAGGTGTGATGAGAGGGGTGTTGAGAGGGGTGGTGAGAGGGGTGGTGAGAGGAGTGGTGAGAGGAGTGGTGAGAGGGGTGGTGAGAGGTGTGATGAGAGGGGTGGTGAGAGAGGGATGGTGAGAGGAGTGGTGAAAGGGGTGGTTAGAGGAGTGGTGAAAGGGGTGGTTAGAGGAGTGGTGAGAGGAGTGGTGAGAGGGGTGGTGAGAGGAGTGGTGAAAGGGGTGGTTAGAGGAGTGGTGAAAGGGGTGGTTAGAGGAGTGGTGAGAGG